AGGAGAAATAAGGTAGTTAATTGTGAAACGAAAGGAACCGGCCTTGGAGTGTACAGGTTCAATTCAGAAGGATTGAATGAAAGCGCAATGGTTTACCAAGGAATGAATACAGCAACATTCAGGTTTGGAATTTTAGAAATGCTCCACGTAATTTTGAGTATAGCCCTTTCTGAATAAGAAGGTTTTTTTCTACAACCGGTGAAGTCAAAATATAGCCTTTTTTCTTGAATACATATTTAAACCCTGTTATTGAGTTGCAGCGTTGTAAGAATGCAAAGTATCGTTTGAACGTGAAGCAGTGCCGGATCCAGACCTTGATAAGTGGGGGGGGGGAGCGGTCATCCAGACCCTTAGATAAGTGGGGGGGAGGGGGGGCGGTCTCCCCAAAAAGTTGTTTCGGCCCTTCGGGCCTCGGCTTGATCTAAAAATAAGCGGGGAGGGCTGTACCCTACGGGTCCTTTCCCTGGATCCGCCACTGTGAAGTTATTCTTAAACAATTTCAAATGGCAAGGGGTTATAAATGTGAGGGAATTGTGACTTTTTGTCCTTACATTGCTGAAGATCCCGTCTCTTCTCTATACGTAGCTGTTCATGATTGAGGCCCTCCGCCTCCGCACAAGCAGTAAATCCGCTCACCGAAGGTGCATCTTCTTTTTTTTTTTTTTTTTAACTGCTCCAGAGAGGAATTTTTCGCGTCTAAGTAAGTATGCGGTTTCAGCCTGCTAGGATTCGTAAGGACGGTACTTGAATTAGGGCTTGTGCGATATAATCATGGCTTTCATATGACGTCACCAAAATTTAAACTAAAGAATTATCGATTCTTCTGAGTTTCTACTTTCATGAGGTATTACAGCAGCTAAACACCTTTATTTATAGGAAGGTTCTGCAACTGGGGCCGGACCTTTCCTGGCTCGGATGACCACATAAAATGGCGGTTTCGTCTCCAGTAGGAGACGTAACCAATTATTACTTTCGTGCTATATATATTGAGACTTTAAAATGTCAGTGTATTTTTTTCCCTTTGATTGGCAGTGAGAGCTTATTTGACCCAAAAATCTAATACGCTCAGTGAATCAGTCGATTACGAGATGGGTGAATGATCCCGATCCGCATTAATGAATTCATGGTGCTATACGATTACGCTATACGAAACTTTTTAATCCGGCAGTGCCATACAAAGAGTTTTGCGTTTTTTCTCGGGAAAGTTATTTTATAAATGCAATAGAAAACTTTTTTCCTGTGTTTGCATAGCCTGATATAAACACGAGAGGGGTTGGGAGAATTCGAGACAGTTATGCAAAACCGAGACGGAGTCGAGGGTTTGCATAACTGTCGAGAATTCTCCCAACGCCTCTTTGTATGGCACTGCCGGATTAAAAGAGAAATTCTTACCAGTCGCAAAGTCTTGTCCACGAAGTCTTGCACGCGTAATCACTTCTTGTTTTGCAAAAAGATGCTTTCCAAAATACGGATTTTTCTAGCTTAAAATGTCAGCTTAAGCAAAGAAAAATTGACACACCTTCTTTGTAACGATTTTCCAAGTTTCAGCCGACGAAGGAATGAGTAAATAAAGTAAACTTGTGGAGTTTTGAACTCGAAAACTTTTTCAAATTCGTGCTTGCGTGATTAGCGCGCGAAAAGCAAAACATCTTGACGTCACAACCGTGTTTACATTCTCTCATGTAAACACTCCTCTCGGCCAATCAGAGGGCGCGTACTATCTTAGTTATTTTATAATTAAGTGTAATATCTTCTAGTTCCTGTTTCTGCAAACTATCAGTATCTTATTCAAACGTTGCCAAGTCCCTAGGCCTCATTATTATGCGTGGCCAATGCGTTTCGGGTCACGTGGTCCGAGAAAGTTCGTCTCGGATACGTCACCGAAATGCATTGACCGAGAGGGCCTTGAACGACGACATACAGGGACTAGGCAGATTCAAACGCAGTCGACCACATTTTTTGCGGCATAAGAAACGTATACAGTCAGCTACTAAAAGCGAAGGTGTTAGTAACGAGTCAAAAGTCAAAAGCAGGAGTTGCTAACTCATTTGCAAGTACAATACAACACTAGCACTATGTCTACGACACCCGATGAACCAGAAAGTATCTATCTCGAGCTCCAAGGCTGACAGAAGCTTATCAAGACTATGACGATATCGTCGGAGAAGCAGCAAGAAAAGTGAAAGTTGATGAGAATCTTTATCAGAAATACAACAAAAGAGAACAAACCCCATCAATTTCTGAGAATGCTGTGCAAGAGGACCTCAGAAAACTCCGGCGAATGCAGGTCTTTATGTGTGCTGCTTTAGCCACGACCCTCCTAATTGCTGCTGCCACATTAGGATTTGTCATCATGATGAAGTGGTCTGGAAAAAAAGATCTAAATGCATCAAAAAGCACGGTGCAAGGTAAGAACCAGTGAACAATTTATACCTTAAGGTTATTAGAGATTTACAGGAAATCAAGAGCCAGCTCAACCAATCAGAACGCAACATTGATAATAGACTACTAGCTGGATTTGTATCATATATATTTGATTTTTGGGTTATAAGGTAATTGTTTTAAAAATATCATACGACTATCTCCAGGGGCACTCAACGAGAATATAGTTCAAAACCACTTAAACATAGCATTGTTGAACGTATTCTAGTATTTAAACGGTAGATATAGGCATATTTTTATCCCCTAAAACTTTTTCATCTGTTCGGATTTCCTAGCTGAAAGTCTAGTGATCCGACAATTATAGGGATCAAAACTTACCTTTTCGAAAATTTCTGCCAGAAAAAAGGCTCCCGAAAATTCTAGGTGACCTTCTTAGGGTAAAAATCCGTTGGAAATGGGCAATTATACCACTTTTATATGTTCGAAAATCCTTGGAGAGGCAGGCAAGCAAGAAATTTTACAACAAATGTTCCGAAAATTCTAGGTCTCAAATCGTCTTCCGAACAGATATTTTCCGAAAATTGACGTTGGGTGCCCCTGTATCTCGTGACTTTAATACAATAACATTCTATTTTTGTCATGTTATAATGATAAAGCATTTTTATATAATTAAGTAATATTTAAATGTGCTCAGGTGCGTAAAATCACGATTAAAAAGCGAATTATCCCTCTTACTGTGCTCTGAAAACACCCTTTTTATTAAACTGACCCTTTTTATTAATTATACTTTGGCTGCGGGGTGTGAAACCACGATTTTGACCCTTAACCCTGCTAGAGTGTTCGATGGAGTTTTGTAAGATGACTCTAACTTTTGATTCTGTAGACAAAATCTTATGATGTGACCATTCAAATAAAAGCTCTCTGCCTGTACTTACACATGATGCTATTTGTTTTTCAAAATTTCACAAAATGAAATGTGGAAATTTGGTCGAAATTTGCCTTTGGCTTAATTTGGCAGTGAAAGGGTTGAGGAAATGACAGTAAGAAATCGGCATTACTCCCTGACAGCACCAGTAGTTATTATCAAGTAGGAAATTAAAATGCCATGCATGTTTATGCCCGTTCTTCACCGTGTTACTGCGTATTCTTGCGTTTCTTCCGTTCAGCCTTAGTCAGAAATTCAGCTATTTTGTCTTCGGATAGCCATGCGAAAGATTTTTTTCTTAGATCACCATTGCCAAAGCAGCCTCGTTTCTAGGTTGATTGAATAAGTGATTGCAGTAATATATAAATCAAGCTTTTGTCTTCCTGTTACTTCTTTACGTACCCTTTATTATAACTTAGTTTATCCTTATCTTGTATACTGTGCTTCAGTATGGGCATCGACGTATCCCACAAACTTGAATCGTATTGTTCTACGTCTGAAAAAAAAATATTCCAATTATTTCCAAGAAGAAATTTGATGCTCATTTGATGCTCATCCAAATTTGATGCTCACGCTGATCCTAAATTCAAACGTTTGCAAATACTGAAATTATCTTAAATTTACTTTTTTCAAGTTTGAAAGTTTATGTATTCTTAAAGTAGGCCTGCTTCCTAATGTATTTAAAGAAACGTTTTTAATGACAAATCAAGTTCATTCCCATAATACCAGAAATTCAAATACTTTCTACTTTGCACTATTATGCACTAATTCCATTGCCTTCTTTTGTCTACCCCTCGCTATATCAGGGGCACCCAACGTCAGTTTTCGGAAAATATCTGTTCAGGAGACGATTTGAGATCTAGAATTTTCGGAACATTTGTTTTAAAATTTCTTGCTTGCCTGCCTCTCCTAGGATTTTCGAACATCTAAAAAATGGTATAATTGCCCATGTTTTTAACGGATTTTTACCCTGAGGTCACCTAGAATTTTCGGGAGCCTTTTTTCTGGCTGAAATTTTCAAAAAAGGTAAGTTTTGATCTCTATAATTTTCGGATCACTAGTAAAACTAGGAAATCCGAACAGATGAAAAATTTTTAGGGGATAAAAATATGCCTATACCTGCCCTTAAATACTAAAGTACGTTTAACAATGCTATGTTTAAGTGGTTTCGAACTGTTTCTCGGTGGGTGCCCCTGCTATATTGCACTTACTATTTGTTCGTACTTGTTTCACTATTCAAGTAAAATCACTTTATCATGACGCATGGGCTATCATCATACATCTTTATGCCGGCTCAAGATCTTACATCCTTACAACGAACGTAGAAGCTGAGGACTTAAATAAATGTTTCTTGCAATCAGCCATAGACAATCCTGTCTGAAATGCAAACAAAGCAAGAGGTTATTTTTAAGAGCAAGAGGTTATTTTTAGTGCGAATAAAGGGGCCCGCCCGCTCCTGCGTAACGTTTGTGTGTGTTAATTAAAAAGTGGGAAGGTGGTAATGTGCTAGCACACGCCTAACTTTGTAACAATGGTCGCCTTGAGAATGCCTGGGGCCAACAACAGAACGGAATATTTTAAGTAGATTGTATAAACTTAATATCCCTGAACAAGTGGGATATTATTTGTAGTGGCAGTGGAAACAAGTTGACAGCTTCAGAGTCTGGGCTGATAAAAGTCAACGAGGGAGAACATGAGTGACGCCACGATAGAGAGTCCAAGTCGCGAAAATGACCGGCGAATGCTGATCATGTTAACTGTCTTCATCTGCCTTGTTGCCGTTGTCATTTTGGTCATTGCTGCTATAATGTTATCAGTGATAATATCTCGAAATGATGATGTTGATGATGATGCTAAAGGATCAAAACTTGACGCCGCGGTGCAGGGTAAGCAAACGTTACAACTTTTTAAAAGTCCGGCTGTCTACTCGTAAAACCCTCAACTAGCGATTAAAGGCTTCTAAACTTGCCCTGTCATATCTCGGTGTAGTCCGCTCTTAGAACTTTTTCAAGAGCCCGTGCACTTGTTTTGCAGTAGGTGTCTCAGCTAGGGTAAGTATAAAAGACAAATTTGTTTCCCGGGGAATTTTAAGTTTTGTTTTTATTTTTGCATTCCTGATTCGGCATAGGCATGGTACCCAACGACTGTTTTCTGTAAAATATCTATTCGGTGAGGCAAATATTACCTAGAACATTCTATTGCTTAAACACGGCTAAAAATTTCTAGAAGAGCGTTCCATTCAGGTACAATTTTCGAAGCTTATCTAAAAAATTCCCTACTATTTTCTGAAGTGTAATTTTTCATCTTTTACTCCTTATGTTAGGCTAATTTTCGTAGAAAAAGAAAAACCGAAAATTTTCGGATTCAAAAATGAGATGGAAAGAAGAACAAGAAAAATTCTCACTGAGTTCGTAAAACGTTCAACTGCATCTAAAATTTTTGGAAAAATAATCGTGAAGCCCTTGTAATTTCGAAAAGCCCCCTCAGTTCCACTAGGATGACCGAACAGATGCAAATTTTATAGCGCTCCTTGGAATACATTTCTAGAGATCTAAAAGTACTCTGGATAGCATGCAAAGACTTTTCAATACGTTTAGGAGGAAACCGTCGTTGGGTGCCCCTGATTCGGGGGCACACAGTCAGCGGCTTTTTTTCTGTAAAAGAACTATTCGAAGGGGCAACTATTGGAGACAAATAAACTAACTTCCGAGTTAGATTTCGAGTTGGATTTTCGAGACAGGAATTTGAGTTGGATTTTCGAGTTGGATTTTCGAGTGAGGATTTCGAGTTGGTTTTCGAGTAAGGATGTAGAGTTGTTTTTTTTTTTTTTTTCGAGATAGTTACTAGTAATCCAGCTGCAATGAATCGGTTAGTTTGTCCGTAAACCGTCTCGTAGATGTCCAGTGCAATGCAGTCAACAAAAGAATTCCTGTAGGGGTGGGGTTGGTATTTTGCCTTTTTATTCTGCGACATCCCTATATAAAGTATACATGAAGGAAGAGGCAAGACATTGAGTCATACATAACGTCATTTCCCAAAATACGATAACCGGGCGTAATCTAGAATATTATGATTTTTCTTGTCATATCTATTCTGGTGGTACAAATTTAGAAATCGCGTTAAGAATTAGACACAACAAAAGGCAAACATATAAATCCTATAGTTCCATTATATTTTGAATACCAACAAATGGCTCCAATGCTGCTTTACAGAGCTTTTCTAGCTTCTTCCCTTGGCGGACACGAAGCATATATTCATAGAAATATTTGTTTATTTATTTATTTATTTATTTATGGGGCATCGAATTTTGCATTTGGCTAAGAGCACGGGTGGTTCACGTGATGCCCGCGTGCTTCGTGCGCGACGAGATTATAAACTCGCTTCGCAAGAATTATCGTCCATCTCCCTAAACATCCAAGGAAGCTTTTCTTTTTTTTCTTCTTTTATTTTTCTATATTTATGTTTAATTATCAACTATATAATGATACTCTAAAACTTAAAATCAGTTTTAAATATGAACATAACTGCATACGCTTCCAATTAAACCACAACATATCAGGCATGATCTCTAGCGATGCACGATTCAATTCAAAAACATTTTTTCAATCTTTTTCAGATAAAGACGAGTGTGAAACCAGCATCCATTCATGTGATGTCAATGCGTTTTGTAACAATACCATTGGATCTTATATTTGCACTTGTAATCCTGGGTACTTTGGAAATGGAAAATCGTGTCTTGGTAAAACCTTAAACTAATCGTCGTGCAGAGTTCATCACACTATGCAGTGCCAGTCCCTTTTTCTTGTTGCCTTTATTAGCTTTGATTCTGATATCCAGCAAACCCCTTTAATTCTCTGCTTGCAGCTAAAATGTTTTTGCGTACCTCTGATCCCGAGTTGTCGGCACCGCAGTTGATTTCAGCAGGTGGTGGATATACCTTCTCTTTTTTCCACAAAGTAGTTTTGGGTTTTCGTATCGGCGGACTCGTACTTAGTTGTCTTAGTTGCTTTCGAGGTTTGTGTTTCATCATACGGCGTTTTGTAATTAGAAGCGGTCTTGTAAACTTACGGTAATTTTGCAATAAACTGGTTTTGAGGTCCTTGCTGACCCACAGGCCCACGCATTTATTCTTGGGTGGGTGTCTTTCTGGGTAGTGTAGGCAAAATGCAATATTTGTTTGGATTTGTTTTTGTTTTATCTTCATAAATTCTCTACCTTCAGATATTAACGAGTGTACCACTAACGTCCATAACTGTGATGCCAATGCTTTCTGTGATAACACTGATGGATCTTACACCTGCGCATGCAGCCCTGGATATACTGGAAATGGAACATCCTGCGCCGGTAAATTATCAACGCATTTGCATTTTTAAGCGACCATATATTATTGCTATTAAAACTGGGGGGAAAGGGGTAGGAGAGGAGTGGGGGGCGGTGTAAATTACGTCTCTGCTCCGTTATAAGCAATATTTGTTTGGGTTTGTTTTGATTTGTCTTAACATTTAAGGTTGCTGAACACAATTTCTCTAAATCTGATTTATCCCTTTACTGTGTATTTTAACATCTTTATCATTATATAAAGAAAAAGAGGGAGGAAAGGCTGATAAAAAGTTTAACAGAAATTAATGTTTTTGTCGCCTTTGACATATCACGTGACCTCAGCGCGGGCCTGTTGAACTAGAGCTGAACATGCGTACGTGAGAGCCTTTGTTTTGTTGACTTTCATAAGTAACGTAAATGAACTACAATATCTTTAAATCTACCCATTAAAATGTGACGAAATTTGGCAGAAATCCTGTTCATGTCACGCTCAAGCCAATGAAAGCGTCAAAATATCTTTTCGACAAAAGAGTTTTATGACAAAATCAAGATTTCCATAAAGACTATTTTCTTGAAGATTTTAAAAAACTGTTTGTTACAATTTTGGTCAAGTGGTTTCTAAAAGATGAGGGTTACTAATCGAAAGCTGTGTTCAATTTTCTAAGAAAATCCAATGACTGAATTTTGCTTAAACCTAATAAATTGAATTTTTTTGGCTTGTTGTCAAACTTCCATGTTGCCATGGCAACGAAGCAAGTCTCACTTTTAACCTAATAAATGTCATGTCTGATAAATATAGATTGATTGTGCTGAATCAAAATTTTAGCGTTATACCCGCAATGACCCCAATAATTGGTTATCATCCACAACCTATAAAACTGTGTTCAGGCACCTTAATATTCTCCTTTCAGATATTAACGAGTGTACAGCCAACGTCCATCACTGTGATGACAATGCTTTCTGCAATAACACTCAGGGATCTTATAACTGCACATGCAGCCCTGGATACACTGGAAATGGAACATCATGCATCGGTAAATCATCCTGCCTAATGCATGTAAAATTATTTTAGCGAGGTCCAAGAAAGAAGCAGTACCCCATAAATGCATTAAGTAATTCTCCAAACGTATCTCTCAGCGTACTTATAGAAGCCGGTCTGATAAAGTACGAGCTTTTTCTTGGAAAAGGCACCCTGTTGTTTGATTCTCGCATGTAAGCGGCCACCTCCCGTATGAGACCACCAATGCACTACGCATTTTGTTTGGTCGCTTAGAATACGAGAGGCTTGACTGTATGTTGTGTTGTCCGAAAGAAAAGAACCTCATACGTAGAAAGCTTCCCTATCCAAGGCTTATTATTTTATTCATAGACGTCGTTCTGCTGAAAATAAGGGCTTTTTACCTTCCTTTTAGATATAAAGAATGCACGTCTAAGGTCCATAACTGTGATAATGCCAATGCGTTTTGTATTACTTTCCTTTCAGATATCAATGAGTGTACGACTAACGTCCATAAATGTGCCGCGAATGCTTTCTGTAATAACACTGATGGATCATATAACTGCACATGCAGCCCTGGATTCACTGGAAATGGAACAGCTTGCACCGGTATGTCATTACGACCAATAGTTGTAAAACTATATTATGAGGTCTAAGAAAGAAGCATCCCATACATAGAGTGCTTCTGTCCGTATTACCTTAGGGTGGATTTCCAATGTCGCGTAATTTTTACGCGCCGGTGCGTAAAATTTACATTCGCAAATAAAATAGAGGCAATACATAAAAGGTCGCACGCAAACGTAAAAGTTGAACTTCGCTCAACTTCAAGTTTAAGCTCGACACTTTGTACCTTGCCTCTATTTTATTTACTCGAGTAAACTGGGATGCAGTATTTGAATTATGTTTCGTCAAGAGCCATTATGGCTCTTGGTTTCGTTGATCCGTTTTGCCCGCATCATCTTTAATACTTTCTTAATAATTCTTTCCTTTCAGATATTAACGAGTGTACGACTAAAGTCCATAACTGTGATGCCAATGCTTTCTGTAGTAACTCTGAGGGATCTTATAACTGCACATGCAGCCCTGGATACACTGGAAATGGAACATCATGCACCGGTATATATATTGTTTGTTTATTATTAAAAACAAAGCTAACAAAACCCCTGATGCCCGTTTGGATATTCATGCTCGAGGTTTTTGGCAGAGACAGAGATCTGCATTCTTCGACGTTCGGGTGTGTCACCCTAATGCAGACTCTATGTATGCGGAAAGAGTAATGGAGATCGAACAGGGAACGTTCACTCCCGTAGTTTTCACGACCACAGGTGGAAAGGCGGATGAGTGTGTTAAGTACCACAGCAGACTTACGGAGCTGATCGCAAATAAGAAGGGAGAAAGTTACTCAAGCGCAATTTCCTGGATAAGAGCTAAAGTATCTTTCGCCATCGTACACTCTGCGATACTATGTTTGCGAGGCTCAAGATCCAGAAGAAGACAGCTAGACTTTGTTGACTCAGACCTACAGATTGATATTATTAGAGCCTGCCCGCATTAATCTTTTTTGTTTTGTTTTGTTTTTTTAAGGATCTTTTTCTAAAGAATTAGGAATTTTAGAAATACGAGATTTTATTTTTTTTTAATTGGTTTTCTTTTTAATATCACAGACGGAAAATTCTCTTTTGTAATGACTTAATTTAAAATTCTGGACTGCCTGCAAGAGTCATTGACCGCATCCGAGCCACAAGGAATGTATTTGCGAAATCGTTATTGACAAAGCGATTGCTATTCTTATGATTTATATAATTCTTTACGTTATATAGTGCTTAATTATTACTTCAATATTTCTGTAAATTATGTGCATATTTTTGTTGTTAAAGTTCAATAAAATTATCATTATTATTATTATTATTATTATTATTATTATTATTATTATTATTATTATTATTATTATAATAAACGGAGTGACAAACGGAGACCCTTCCTAATGATCTGTGTCAGCTCGTTACTTTGACACCCGCTCAAGGAGGGCTAGGCGTACCCGACTTACGGTTTGAAGCTCCACAGCAGTTTGCTGATTCTACGTCAATAACAGCATCGCACGTAGATTCTTTTACCACACAGTGCATGTTCATGGTGGCAGGCGAGAATTCCACGGCAGAGTTAAAAAGACAACATCAAGCCTTGAAAACTGCGTCGGTGAAATCCAGAATGGAAAGTATTGATTCCACTCTACCCTCGGATCTGCTGCGGTCAGTTAACCAATCTAGAGACAAGGGTGCGAGCTCATGGCTTGACGCAGTACCTCTTGTCGATCAAGGTTTAGTGCTGAATGAACAAGAATTCAGAGACTCTCTGCGTTTAAGGTATAATATGCCCCTGACCGACTTGTGGTGAGAAGTATGCCATCTGCCATGCCCTGTCATGCAAAATTTTATGTCAAATTCTGCCACCCATCTGTTTCTAGTAACGTAACAGTAGCCTTTTTTTCCCTCCTTTTAGATATTAACGAGTGTACGACTAACGCTCATGACTGTGATGCCAATGCTGTCTGTAATAACACTGAGGGCTCTTATAACTGCACATGCAGCCCTGGATACACTGGAAATGGAACATCATGCACCGGTATATATATTATACTTACACTGATATGCTCCCGCTCGTGCAAATGTTTACGTAAGAGATTCGAGTGAAACAGTTAGTTTTGTTTTCCCGAGAGTCCTGAAGTTCCCAGAGACGAAGTCGAGGGAAACATCAGGACTCAAGGGAAAACAAAACTAACTGGTTTCCCGAGGAACCTGACATTAAGTGTTTGGTTATATTTCTGGACTTTCACTTCAACAGCAACAAAAGAATAACCGGAGAGAACCAAAACAGTCGACTCGGCACTTATAAGAACACAAATTTAATTCTCAAAACCACTGAATGAATGATTTACAAAGTGCTTTCCTTATATTATCTGCATCTTTTTCCTGCACTAGCTACTGTTTCTCTTCTGGGATAATGCATCAGTCAATTCCACCTGCGCCCAGCCCTCCCCCCCCCCCCCCCCTCCCGGGCTGACCCCGGGGCATTAGCATTTTTTTTTGCCTTGGATGGCAACTTCCCAGGGGTGGGGACTCTTGAGCTGTCGAATCCCCCGGGGTGGGGACGAAAAAAGAGGGCAAATGCCCCGTCCTCTGTCAACACTGCAACCTTTTTTCATCGATCGCACAGTCGAATAGTGCTATTTTAAGCATTTTTATGTGCGATTTTTTGTTTCAATAAACGTCTTCCTTTGTAATAGCGCTAGGATTTACGCCGCGACGACATGCACCAGTTTATGGTTTTAGTATTGATATAAAATTGTTGACATTAAAATAAATAGAGCGCTGTAAAGTTATATGTTATGAATAGTTTTATAGATATGAAAGGATGGTCTTTAAATAATATCAACAGAAATTTGATTCAATAACCAAAAAACGTTAATTCACATCGATAGCTCCAATTTTCCAATGAAGAAATGCATGCATAAAATCAAGAACATGCCTTTGCAACCCTCTTCAATTTATTCCTGTCCTTGACAGATGAGCTAACTGTTTTTTTTTTCCACTAAAACCTTTTGTGTAGTTATATTCTGATAGGAAACCGCGTGCCTGTCAAAAGCTTGGGAATTGCCCGGGGGTTGGCGAATGCCCGGCCCCCGGGCATTTCAAAATTTGCAAATGCCCCATCCCCGGGACTGACATGGCGGACAAATGCCCTGCAGTGGCCCGGGGGGGAAGGGCTGGGCGCAGGTGGAATTGACTGATGCTTAACTTTGAAAATCGTTTTTAGCTTGAGGCTTCCTGGTTGTGTTGTTGTGTTCATCCACGAAAAAGAAAACTGGCAGTGTTTTTCCCGCCTTCTGTCACGCCACTTTCCACCATGCCTTGATCACGTGCTGTAATGTATCCCGAGCGGGCTACATTTCTTAATGTATCGCGATCGGGATACATTTGATTTTAGTCAAGGCCACGTGACCAAGAATCAACCAATAGCAAGTCCCTGTTTAGTTGAGTGAAAGTCTAGAAATATAACAATTATTATTATTACTCATTAAACATATTATTTTTAAACATATTCCTCATTAAACATATTCCTACTACTAATTTCTCTCGGTGGCTTTACTCGACCATAAAACAAGGAGGTTTTATCTAAAGTAAATGGAGGAAGAATAATGAGAGAGCCGTTGTTTTGGACGCGAACCTGACGACTTCCGTATTTGAAGGAGCTTGGCAATCTGGCTTGTTTTGACTTCGGGTTTGTTTTAATTTTCTAGTGCCTTTTACCAGGAATTTTACAACAAATGGAACCACTGGGCGACAAGGGATTATTCAAACATTCATAGTTCCGCACACTGGTGTATATCTGGTAAAGGCCTGGGATGCCCGAGGAGGAACACACTCGACAAACTACGGATCTTTTCCTGGAACGTACTATGGTGGTAGAGGGGCAAGGATGCAAGGGACGTTTACCTTGAATAAAGGAACTGTACTGAATATTGTGGTGGGAAAAAGAGGAGGAGATTCAGTGCAGGTAAAAGGAGGACAGTCCACTAACTTGACAGCTGCTCAGTTGGGACTGTCTGTAGAGGACAATGCTGGTACTGGGGGAGGCGGAGGGAGCTTTGTTTATACAACAAGTAACGTGCTTTTTTTAGCTGCTGGAGGAGGAGGGGGTGCATCTAGCGGGTATAACGGGGTGGATGGTCAGGCGGGTACTAACGGCACCAGTAGCGTTGGAAAAGATTCAAGTGATGTTCGTAGCGGAGGATCTGGAGGGAATCCTGGTCAGTGTAACAGATTAGGCGGTGATTGGCATGGGGGAGTGGGTGCGGGATGGTTAGGCCAAGGTTGTTCCAGGGTCGAGTCCGAGCATGGTGAAAGAGGTGGATCGCGTGCTCAGGGCTGGGTGGGTGGACGTGCTGGAAGAAGGAATAGTGGCTACAACGGAGGGCCTCCCCCTGGGGCCGTCGAAGGGTTTGGCGGTGGCGGAGGGGGAGCCGAGGATAATGGTGCATCAGGAGGAGGCGGGGGGTACTCTGGGGGAGGTAGCGGCACACGCCCAAACCAAGCAGGCGGGGGAGGGGGCTCTTACTGTAGTGGCTCGAATTGTTCAGGGATGAGTGGAGGTAACTCAAATGACAGCGGACTTGTAAAAATCGTGGAATTGTCTGTCTAAACTAAGAAGCTAACGCCATGACAAAAAAAATCGTTTCCACTGTCGGTTTATTACTGATTATTATTAGAGTGTTCTGTAGTAGAATGTCAAGTACTGTATATTAATGTATTATCGTAATTTGCGATCGAATACAATGAACGTTAATCAGCAGAAATAATAATAATAATAATAGTAATAATAATAATAATGATAATAATAATAGAGACAACCACATTATGATGGCCTCGTGTAGGTATATAAGAGATAATGATCGTATAAAAGTTGAATAATTTTCTAACTATTAGGCTTCTAGTAGAGATAATTATATCATCATGTCGTTGCGTAGGTTTTAAATTGTATGAGAATTTAATAATATTCTTAATTGGATTTTTAAGTAGAGAGATTCATATCATTATGTATATTAGGATCGTATTAGGTTTCGTACCGACCTTTTAAGTATAGCTTCTCATGTGGTGTAGGTTACGTTATGCGCCCTATACTACTCATAGTGTGGACAGCATTCCAAAGTTTTATACTGCGAGGTAATAATAAAAACGATTTATCCTCAGAGTGGCTAAAACTCTTTGTTAATTCTTAGCCTGAGATATGAAGAAAAGCTCTACTTCACGGACGATCCATCTGTACCCTTGTCTTGCACTGCGCATTACCTACGTTGCATAACTGTTGCGATATCATAGATGACTGTCTGGCCGCCTGAAGGAAGGAAACAAACATTTTATTTTTCATTTGTCTAGTTAAACATTTTATTCACGATTATAAGATTATAACCTCTCTTGGTCAAAAAAGGGGTTAGTCTTGAAACTGGCCCCAGTTCCTTCGCGTGTACTTATCATTTGGAGCCGAAATTGCCGGCCTTTGCATGTTGTCTTTTTACAATGAAGAACGAAACGGTCACGTTTTTATTGGTGACATTTAGTCGTAATGGGTACGCACACCAAAAAAAAAGTGACTTAAGGAACATTTTTTTGTTTGTTTTTAAAAACGGACACAGAGGAGCTATTCTTAATGTCAGACGGCACAGTAGTCGCGTAGTCCAGAGTGAGGGGGCTGCCAATGTTCTCACATTAAAATGAGGAATACAAAGAAGATTTTTAGATGATGAACGTAGCTGCATGACGAGATGGAATGGTACTGTTGCGGTCTAATTTTGTTACATTATTTGCAAGATCAGTTAATCATGATTGGGAAATCTTATAAAACATTATAGCCCAGATAAATTCGGTTGGCTCTGGAGGAGGAATCGGCGTCTTACCGTATTCAGCAGGGGGGAGGGGGTTCGTACCATTGTGGCTTAAATTGTTAATGCGTGACAGGTGGTATGATGAACTTATACAAATCATGAAATTGTCTGTCTCTACTTGAGTAATATAGAACTGTTAAAATTTCTGATGACTTTACTTATTTAATATTCATTTGTTTTATTTTTTAGTGTTTATTTATTGACGGTGAAGGGTAATTTGCATGTAAGTGTAAGTGAAAGGCAGCGTTTCGTCGAAGTTTTTGTCTTCAGAAATCGTAAATTCACATAAAAGAATTATGATTTCATAAAAATTGTATAAAATGAAACGAAGAAAGCCAGGATATTTTAGTTCGATGGAAAAGATACGAGGTAATTTGCATACTGACCAAAACAACTTCCGAAACAATTCGACTTCGTGCTTGTTTTCCTTGCATTAGATACATCCCGCTGGATTAAAACCTTACAATATTTTTTAGAATCAAAATGATTTACACGTTGAGTTAGAGTGCAGTTCCTAAAAAAAGAAGTGTAGCCTAAAAGCACGTCACGTTGAAGGTAAATTAGGCTGATTAAACAACAGGACGGGAACGTCTGTTGACGACTGGAAAGGGCGCGGAAAGGACTAAACACGACTTCCGGTGCTCAATTTACCGCCCTGCCATTGGCCAAGACAGTTGTTTGATTTGCGCGCGCAAATATTCTACTTTATACTGTGGTTTATTTTGTAAAATCGCATCGTCTTTTCCCTAATGTTATATGTCTACTTAAACCAACCTAGGGGGAACCTAGACCCCATATAAACCCCAGGCTTCCAGTTAAGGCTTTCCCCTCACTATCTTTTTCTATATTTTTCAGTATATGTAACCTGTAAAGTGACGAAAACAAATCAATCAATCAATCAGGGAATCAATTTTCCAATTTTTACGTTAATAGGGACAAATACCGAATCAGTGGGGGATCCAGGGGGGGGGGGAGCCTGGGGAGGCCGCCCCCCCCTCCCCCCACCTTATTTTTAGACCAAACTGAGACCGGGCTCCCCCTTATCTCAGGGGTCTGGATCCGCTACTGCGGAAAGCTCTTGCGCTGACACGAAAACTGTATTGGATAGGACTTTTGTTCGCACATAAGAAACGTGATTTCGGCGCGATTTCTGTAACGTAGCGAAGCTTCTCCGCGCCAATCTCAAAATGGGATGGTTATATATCACATGGGTTTCTGCCGCTTTTCGTCGCAGTGTGAACAGGCATTCGGACCGTGGGAAGTAAATGAGTAGAAGCGAGGATTGAAACCCACCGAGAAGGAAGTAAACATTTAGAGGTGAGGATTGAGATTTAGTGTTCCTAACCCTCTCGGGAAGATGTGGTGAACGACTTGTTCCAGTTCTGTGCCCGATTGCTTTTGATACCGTACGCTCCGGATAGTTTTTCATGTCCGCACGAACAGCTATCCCGTATGGTTTATGCAGTGGTCTTAAGCTAGGGCGTAATTGTGATAATTCGCGTAACAAGGAGCAGCTAAACTTTTATTTAATAAGTGACGATTCCTCAGGGACCCATTGAAGAAAAACTGCGCCTACTTTTTCTTTTGTTTTCAAGACGGTGTATCGCCGCTGCAGTTAAAGACAAGGTCTCTGACAGAATTGAGGCAGTTAATTGAAAGCAATGTTAAATGAAATGGAAGCACCTTTGAAGTTTACAAGTGTAATTTAGGAGGTTTGACTGAAAGCGCATTGGTTTACTAAGTAGTAAATACAGCGACATTCAGGTTTGGAATTTTGAAAATGCTCCACGTAAAAAGTGTTAAAATACTTCAAAACCGTTTAGGCTACGACTATCAACCCTAGCGGCATTTCCTTAAGATTATCTGGGACGATTTTTAAGTCTTCTTGACGTTTATGTGAACATTGACATCGTCATAGCAACTTAGTTTTGACAGCCATGTATTTCAAAAATTTGCTTTTATCGTATAACTGACAAAGACCTAATTTCTTTGTTTACTTGATTAATATCGTAGCGGGACGCATTGTCACTGATGGTTTCGTACGGTTCTTCTAAATCTTTTCCGCGCTCTGAGAATTGGTTCTTCACTTTGGAGAATATTTGCGGAGCTGGACAAACCTAAACGTAAACTATCGAAGATAAACTTAACATCGATGCAGGTAAGGTTGTTTTAGCTATGTTTTTAAACTAGGAATTATTTTGAATGAATAACAAAACAATTATTAAATTCGGCTTTCGTATCATATGAAGAATTATGGACTCCGAGATCTCGAAGGGTGTTATCCGCCTCGGCCGAGCACCCTCCTCGATCTCCATAATTCTTCATAAGATACTCAGCCTCATTCATTAATTGTTAAATAAGTTACGTCAGCTTTGTAAGAGAAGATGGACCTATATGAACCCATGCGTATTAAACTTCCTGGACCCATTTTGGCTTA